GTGACTCGTGGCGGTGAAGCTGAAACGTTTGTCGGCATAGTTGGTTGTGAAGATGCTCTTAGTGGGGATGCTGAGACTAGAAGCTTGGGAATTGATGATGATGCTGCTTTGTCGAGAGGTGGTGATGGTTGGGGCTGGTTGGTGTTGTTGCTCGGTGTTGAAGATGGTGGTAATTGATGACGACCGAATCCGGGACGTGGGGATGAAGTTGAGAAAGGTCTTGGGTGAAGAAGTGGACTGTTGGAGCTGGTGTTGGTGGTGACTCTCTGAAGTGATCCTCGTGCTATGAGCTGGCTTGACGTTGGAACAAGTGATGAAAGTGTGGTATGAGAACGAGGTGTTGCAGTGACGGTTGACTTGTTGCTAGGAAGAGTCGTAGATGGTGTTGATGTAGGTACTTGGGGTCTTGTAGCTGTTGACTGCTGCTGCGTGGGATGATGATGAGCTTCTGTAGTTGCCTCTGGAGTGATGGCTGGTGATGGGTTTGATGGCGTAGTGGTGGGCTGATCCGGTCAGCGTTGAAATTGTGAGGTTGGCGTTGATACATCTGGCTGGTTTGTGACTGTTGGCTGCTGCTCCTTTGGTGGTGATGGAACGGTGACTTGCTGCAGTGGATGGTCTTCGTTTGATGGCTGAATTTCATCTCCACTTTGTTGAGTAGCTGCTGGTGGCACTGGCGTGGCACGGCTGGACTCGTTGACGATGGCTTGAGGGAGATCGATGATCGGTCCGCAATGGTCAGAATCGGTGTCATCTTCTTCCTCCTCTTGTGTTGTTTCCTCAGGTGCGCTTGCTGGTTCCTGTTGGATAGAGGATAGAGAGGAGGAAGAGGAAAACTTATGCCAACCTGCAAGGGACATGTCTTCATAGAAGACAACATCCCTTGAAACCACTTCTCGCTTGGTGACAGGATCCCAAAGGACCCATCCCTTGCTCTCATTGCTCATGCCGATGAAGAGGCCCCAATGAGCTTTGCTGTCCACCTTAAGTCTCTTTGCATCTGGAACACGGTATTGGGCCATGGAACAAAAAACACGAAGCATAGACAGATCTGGTTTAACTCCAAACCAAGCCTCATATGGCGTTACACCATCCGGTAGGGGCCTTGTGGGTCTCCTGTTGCGAACATAAATTGCCATAGTGATTGCCTCACCCCACCAGAGCTTGTCAAGGCCCTTAAACTGAAGAAAAGTGGTAGCTATAGCTTGAATAGTGCGATGAAACCTCTCTGCCACTCCGTTTTGCTTAGGACTATAGGGACAAGTGAACTGTTGTTTGATGCCCAATGCCAACAACTCCCCCTGAAATGCTTTCCCCATGTACTCACCTCCTTGATCAGACCTCAAGGTGCGTAACTTCTTCCCTGAATCTCTCTCAACAAGTGCTAGCCATTGCTTGAACAATTGTGCACTTCATCCTTGGTGTTGATGAAAAAGGACCACGAGAAACGACTCTTGTCATCAATGAAAGACACCAAATATTTCTTACCGTTTCGAGTAGGGTCTCGCATGGGGCCGAATAAATCAGTGTGGACCAACTCTAGGAGGTCCCTTGACTGAGACTTAGAAGGAAAAAATGGCTTTCTTGCTAACTTATCTTCGACACAAGATGAGCATGGGACGGTAAAAAGAGACTTGACTACACTTACACTCAAATTAAGTCCTTCCACGCTCTTGTGACTTACTAACTCTTTGAATGCTTGCATCCCCAAGTGCCCCAAGCGTGCATGCCATACCTCAGCTTGGGAGATACTCCCTTTGTTGTTGAATTGATCGGCTGAAACAGCGGGAAGCGAAACAACGTCGTTCTTGGCGTTGCTAGAACCGCGCTTAATCTCCAACTTCATCTTGTAGAGACGCCCAGTACGCTTGCCTTCAGCCACCAAATTTCCTGCACTATCCCACACTTTGGCTTTCCCCCCTTGCAAGAGAACGGAGGCACCTTTCTCTTCGAGTTGTCCGGCTGAGAGCAAGTTTGCTCCCAAATCAGGAACAAACAAAGCTTTATTGACATAAAATGACTTACCATCCTTTTCAAACTCAAGCTTGCCGACTCCTTTGATAGGTACTTTGCCAAGATCAGCAAGTGTCACAGCTTTTGAGTCACACGAGGGCTGAAAATCTTTGAGAATGGAATGATAGGTTGTCATGGTTTCATAACAACCACTATCAAGAATAAACTCCTCACTACTAGTAGAAAAAACGTGCATGCAAGTAGCAGCATTGAAAAGGACAGGACCATAAGAATCTTTGGACTCATTTTGACTAGTAGAATGACTTGCTATATTTGCTATGGCTGCCTTACCCTTTTCAGATAGTAGCTGAGGAGGGGGGACCCAATTAGGAGGCTTCTTAGGACAAGCATATCACGGATGACCCCACTCATGACAACAAAAAAACTCAAAATTAAACTTTTTAGCATTCGAGGCTTGGCTGAAATGATTGACTCTTGGCGGATTAACTCTTGCATTCTTAGGCTGATATTGATTGGGAATAGAAGGCCTTGGCTGGACATAGCGACTTGACTTATAGGGAGGACTTGACTGAGCAAAACGAGAGGGTTTGTATGGGTTGGAAGGTGACTGGAAATTCGTACCATAGTATGGTTGAGGGCGGTTTGGGCTGAAATTTCCTTGCCTCTGGGATTGGTTGCCATATCTTGTAGCTGCTGCAGCACTCCACGCACCTTCGTCACACCGCTTGTTATGTGCAAGGTCTCGACTCTGCTGCTGGTTGACAAGGGCCTCAAAGATGAACGCACGACTCTTCATTGACTACGGGAGCGCTTGTAGTGTTGCACGGAAAGTGTCCCACTCCAGTGTAAGGCCGGTGAGGATGACGGTCTTGAAAAGAGACTCTGGAATCTCCAAGCCGATCGCTGCTGCTTCCTCCAACATTGATTCAGCTCGTTGTAGGTAGGCTTGTGCTAATTCATCTTCTTCCATCTTCAGATTCATGAAGCGGCTCCACATCTCGGCTTGGCTGCTCTCGGATTTTGGCTGGTGCATAGTCTTCAGTCGGCTCCATGTTTCCTCTGCACTGTTTACCTTGGTAGAACAGGGCAGGAGCGACTTCAACTGCTGCTCGTGAATGCTATTGAGTAGGTAGAGGAAGGCCTCCTTGTTGCGTCGTTCGTAAAGTCGTTTTTCAGCTTCTGAAGCGTCTGCAGCTGGTTTGGCTGCTTCTCCAGTGTAGTAAGGCCACAGATCCAGAAGGGATGCAGTGAGCTCAAACTGAGTTGCCCATGTTGGAAAATCTTTGCCGTTGAACTTAGGCATATGGTGAGTGGTGAAGCTTAGGCACGAAGGAGGTGAGTGGTGAGTATGTTGTTGAATAACTGCCTGGTGCAACTGCTTCCACTAATCCAGTAGCTGCTGATGTTGACTCTGAAGCTCCTCCGGCTGGCTGGAGTGCAGGACAAGATGGATTCTCTCCCGCCATGTTCGTATGGTGCTAGGATAGGAACGTGGTGGGCTAGGTTGATCGAAACGACGAGCTCTGATACCAACTTGTAAAACAGAGTAGCTCTGATGACTGGAAAGCTGGAAACTTGGCTGGAAAAGCTCAACAGAGCTGCTGGACTTGGCTTGATGAGAGAAAACTTACACTATGCTCAAGATTGTACAAGCCCACTAAGGCACAACTTCTTAAGCATTACAATCATGCAGATTGATAGCTCAAACTAGGCTGCTAGACAAGGCAACTTCCTTGGGAACTTGGGCACAATTCTGCTTCCATGGACCTTGAGTGACTTTGAGAGCCACATGAGGTGCATGAATAAGAAGGCTCTGGAATTCTTTGATTTAGCTGATTTTGGATTGTAGAAATCTGTAGAAAGCGTTAACACTTCGGCTAAAAGTGATTCCGAACTGTAAAGAGACTTCGGCTGAAAACTGATTGGTTGCGGAAGTTTCTGAATATTTCGCGAAGCCTTGACTCCGTCGCCAACATTCCCCCCTTGCTGCTCCTTGTGTGCTAAGGGCTGGGGCGGCAGAAACTCGCTTCTCCAACAGAACTTGCGACATAATTAGGGTAGGTTCTGATGATTTACGGTTTGCAAGACCTAGGCGCTGTTCGGGAGGCCCTCACTCCGACTGGTCCCAGTCGGGGTGGAGAAACCGCTATAGAATTTCGCAGAGTGTTGGGTGTGGAAATAAAAAACTGTTGTTGAAAAAGTGGAGAGACGCCTACAGACGGGAGTTGGTTCGGCTCGGCTGGTTTGGTGTGATTTGGTCTGAATCCTAGAGGTGTTGAGAAGGTTCCAGGGGCTAGGGAGAAAATTTAAAGAGGATGCGCGAAACTCTCTCGCCAAGCATGTGTAACCCTAAACGAAGGTACAATTGCTTCGGCAAAGCTGTTTAGAGATTGCCTTGCTGTATGCACGGCTGACCGTTGAGTTTCGAGAATGCTTCGCGCCAAGTTCGTCTTCCAAATTTTACTGCTGGTTTCTAAAACTGACAGAACCTAGTTTAGTACGTGTTAGCACCTACCGCGCAAACAGCTGAGACCTGCGCTACTCCGCATTCGAGAGCAGGTACTGCCGTCACGTGCCGTGAAAAGTCATGTATGTCACTGCGTCGAACGCTGCGACTGGATCCAATCGACACGTTGTCGCTCTCGCCAGTCTCCCCATAGCGCGCCGTGAAGGCGATGTTCGCCAATTAATTGCATTGCGAGCGTGCGATATTCAACAACGTCACTGCGCGCGTTGGGACCATGATCCTCTCTTCGCGAGACCCCTACGCCGTCAGCCTTGTTGCGTGCGACGAAGGCGAGGGGCGGGATGGCGAAGCCATCTCTTCGTGCCAATGTTTCCGCGTGCGCCTGCAACTTCATCGCTGCATCGCATCACTAAAATTCGCAGAACTCGTCGCGCTCGACGTGTTTGGACGCACCGCTGCGCCGTAGCAGAACTCGGAATGCGCGTCATCGCCTATCCGTGCCCGGATTTCTGGCGCTACTCCGCGGATGCGGCAGAGTGAATCTGAGCATAGATTTCCCATGCGAGCCATTTCCAGCGCTGGCTCTCATCGCCACATTTTCCGTGGCAGCATGCATGCATCTGGCACGAGAACCCGCGAGGCCTCGCGGCGCGTGGTGGAGGCCACATTGCGGGTGGTGCTGGTGGCGGTCGTGTTCTCGTTGGCCGCGGGAACTCCTGGCAGGAGGGAGATGGGGGACGAGGGGAAGCAGGATGGGCAGGGCGAGGGGGAGGAAGGCGTGGAGGCGTGGGTGGTGCTGCGTGTGCTGCGACCGCTGGTGCAGCGACTGATGCGAGCCAAGGTGCGTCGAGGCGAGTTTTGCCACGACAACCCCCCCTTTGCTCACATCCTTGTCATTTGGCTACCCCATGTGCCAACTGTCACATTTTGATGCCTTCTTCTCCGTCGCCCTGACCTCCCCACTTTCCCCCGCCCCCACCCCCCCCCCCCCCCCCCCCGTCCCCCCCCCCCCCCCCCCCCCTCCTCCGCCCAACCCGCGCTATCCCGCAGGTGATTGCCGCCTTCCACTTGGAAAGGGCAGCGTCGCAGGGTGGAGCTGGCAGTTCACGATTCTCACATCAGCAGCAGTGTATACATGGATGCGTGTTAGCGGATAGAAGCAGTCGTTCGGTCGTTCGCAGGAAACTCGAGGCGCGCACCACTGGCGCCCGCGTCTACAGCAGAGTGCTTGCGGTGATGCGGGAGGAGTGGGACTTGGGTGGAGAGCAGGGTGGCGAGGGTGGAGTAGTAAGACAGGCAGGCAGCGCTTGCTGGGCAGTCGACAGGGTGCGTGCCGTTGGGGCCAACGCAGCTGCAGGGTGCCGCCACGCAAGGGTGGTCACAGCCTGAGGGGGAGCAGCAGCTGCCGCTGCATCAAGGGTGAGGGTGAGCGTGAGCGGTTGCAGGGTGTGTGGGCCGCAGATAGGCATGGGCGGAAACGGCGGAAGTGGATTCGCGGCTGACAAAGTGGCTGTTGGGGAAGGGGTGCCTGCGCCCTTGTCCCTGTTCCAGTCTGTTCCCCGTGCCCGTCTCAATCCATCAGCACAAGCCACGGTATTCCGGCGCCCCTCTCCTCCCCCCCAACCCCGCCTACCCCACCTTCGTACCCGCCAGCCACACCATGCCCGTAGGGCCCTCGTCGCCCCTGGACCACGCCATCTCCCCCTCCATCCCTGCTCTCGCAGTCGGGTGGCCCCATGCCCGCTCCCTATGTGGTCACTGCGCCCTCCGCCTCTCCTCAAACAACGCGTTACAGGGCTGGGCAGTGGCAGCAACAGTGGCAGGTGTGGTGAAGAGATATGCCTGTCAATTATACACCAGTCGCAAAAGGTTCTCCTTGCATGGCAGATAACCACTCTTCTGCCACCACCCTTCCTTCTCTTTCCCCTTCCCTTCACCGAGGGCTGTGGCGTTCCCAGCGCCGTCGCTGTAGCCTCCTCCCCCGCCCCGCGTCCCGCAACAACTTCTCCGAGTAAGGGGAGGGCGAGAGGGCACGGGAGGTGGCGACCACGGCGAAGAGAAGTGGGGGCGAGAGGGCACGGCGGTGGCTGATGGACGAGCTGGGGGCACTAGGCATGGACAGCGGGGAAGAGAAGTGGGGGAGGCGGGGAGTGGGGTGGGTGAGGTCCGTTCTGTGAGAATGATGGGGAGGGGGAAGGGGAGAGCGCAATGGAGAAGGGTGCGTGGGGCCGGTGTGCACGAGTGAGTGGGCTGGAGAGGCGCGTCCATGCTGCTGCTGCAGCTGAAGCTGCTGCTTGTGTGAGCATCGGTGCCTCGCCCCCCCAGCCCAGCTTGCGGCAGCTTCGTCTGCGCGCGGTGGGCAGACAGGCAGCCGGCACAGTAGAGCGGCAGGGTGAATTGAGGGCAGGCAGAGTGAGGAGCGAGAGGCAGGTAGCGTGGGGTTAGCAGGGAGTTTGGGCGAGGGGAACGCGCATACTGGCGGGCGGCGGCCGTGGTGGTGCGGATGGTGGCAGGCTGTGTCCAGCACGTTGCTTCAATGACCGCCCTCCCTCGCTCTTTGGGTATGCTTTGCAAATGCGTGCCCGCTATGACTGTCCCCCACGACATGCCATCCGACACCACGTCTCTGCTTCTCACATTCGTCCCACCAGCTCCTCGCCTCTCCTCTTTCTCCCCCCGATGCCCATGCCAGGCCCCTCACCCCAGCCCCTCCTCCGCACGCCTCGCCTTGCCTCCCCTACTCCTCCTCAGCACCAACTCCTCTGCTGAGCGACCCCAAAGGGACGACTTGGGGGCAGCATGGGCGAGAGCAGTTGTGGAAACACAGGCGGAGCAGAGGTGGGAGCATGCGAAGGGGTGGGGAGGGGAAGGGGGGTTTGGGGGACCTTGGGTCAGAACATGGGGGGGAGCATGAGCGGCAGTTTCATTGATACGAACATGAGCGGAGGAGGTGGCATAGCAGGGGCAGGGAGACAAGGTCACCCAGGCATGGAGGGAGTGCGGCGGCCACAAGCAGGAACAGGCAGCATAGGTAGCACACGCAGCACGGGCAGCATAGGCAGGAGGAGCGCGAGCATGGATGTGTCACGCCGTTGCTGGCAGTCGATGCCATTCTCACTCACAGACGCCTCCTCCTCCCTGGGCTTCCCGCAGCACCGGCAGCATGGCAGTGCCGCAGTGCCCACAATGGTGGCGGCGGTGGCATGGTGGGCAGCAGTGTGGAGTGCAGTCACAGCATCAGCGTGGTGATGGGGCGGCACAGCCTTGACAGCAGCGGCAGCGGCGTGATGCTGCAGAGAACGACTGGGCAGCTGCGGCAGGGTGGAATGGGGACTTTTTCAGGAGACTTACGCGCGTTAAGCAGCACCAAAAAATCCCCATCGAACGAAATTAATCACCTCTTTTCCCGGTGTGATGCCATCAGCTACCCGATGTCCCTAGCTCTCCTCTCCCTCATTTCTCCCACTGCCTTCCCCTTCGCACACCGACAGCATTGTACATGGGCATACAAACCGAGTTACGAGATTGATTTTCTTTCGGGACACAACTCGACCAAGTCGAGTTAAGCAAAACTCGCGATTTCAAGTAGATGCGCTCACGGCCACATTTGGCATGGTTGGGGGGGTTGCTGTGGCGGCGGAAGGCATTGGGAAGGTGTGGGGTGAGCAAGGGGGCGACGTGGAGTGGGATAGGGTGGAAGAGGGCATGGTGACTTTACGTCTGTACAGGATTTAGGGTTGCCAGGGCGAGGTGGAAGGGGAGAGGGTTGGGGGGAATGGGGTCTCTCTGCAGCAGAGATTGACTTTTGCATGATGACGTAATCCAAAATCTGATTTTTTCGCAAACCGCACCCCATCCCCCTTCTCCATGTACCCACCCCTCCATTGCAACTCGGAAAATTTTGTTACATCCGAGTCGAACCTGGGCCGTTTCGATATGGGTTCACTCAGGGCACCTAAGTTGCAAAATACGCTCAGGACACTGCGTTTAGCGGATATACGCTAGCGTTTACACGCTAAACGCTAAACGCAAGCTAATACGCTATACGCTTGCCAATTGTTTTTGGGGCAGCCCGACCGAAAAAAATATGAATATACGGAAAGATGCGGGATTGCACGACGAGCATTTTGCCACCGTCAAATTCACGTCCGCGATTTGTGCAAGAGTGAACGGCAATCTCCGCGCTGATCGGCAATTTCCCTTCCCTGCAGATCCGCGCAGATTGAAGGTTCTTCCCGCAGAAGGGATGGGGGGAAAGACTCTCCCTATATCAACGTCTTGTAGATCTGGACTGGAAGTGACGTGACGACTGTACAAATTTCAAATATCAAATTGGTTGGATGAGATAGATGCAATGCGGTGAAGATAGGTGATGGGAGGGGGAATTGGTTGGAGGCAACATTGGCGATGGGTGTGGGGCACGAATTCCAGCATTGGCAATGGTTTCCCTGTCCAGGATCTCTCCTACGCCTCCTCATACACTCTAGCAATCATGCCTTGGGATAGCGAGCCCGAAGCAGAGCAGATTCGCGCAACGCTATTGCAGTCTATAGCCTACGAACTCTGCATCTTAACCCGATTTTGGGCCGAGACAAGGGTGGTTATCTTGGAATGGAGAAAAACTTACCTCTGAAACATAACCCCTTAGATCCCCCCCCCCCCCCTATAATAGCCCGGGCGGATTTTTTTCCCTGCCCGGGAAAGTTTTTTTCCTGCCCCAAAAAGCGTATGTCCAAATCGCTCCCTTACGCATATAGCGTATATACGATACGCGTATATACGCTATAAGCGTATTTTGCAACTTAGCAGGGCACAAAGAGGCTGAATTGGCGGAAGGAGCTTTCCCTCCTGGATGATCATGCCATTTGATCCCCCACCTTCGTCCTTTTTCTTCCCCCCCTCTCCTTTCCCTCAACTTCCCTTTCCTTCCCCACTGCTCCCTCTCCTTCCTCCCCTCCCATCTTCTCTCTTGTGCACCCATCTCGTATCCTTCTTACCACCCCCTCCCTGTCATTCTCCCTCATGTCTCCCTTCTCATCTCCAAGTCCTCCGCTCACCCCATTCAGCTCCTCCACCCTCCCCGCATGCCGTGTTGCTCATTCGTACAACTACATTGTGCTCTGTACGTCACTTCACTTCATGGCACCCTCGTTCATCTGTCAACCGTTTCTTGCCATTCAACCTGAACATAAACCAATTGTCCATCCCCATCTCAGGTCCTCCTCACACCATCACCCTCCCATCTGCATCCCCACAACTCCTGCCAAGCAGCATCACTGTAGCCACAATCTCTCCCTTAGTTAGCTCATACATTCATCATCAAACCCCAGCATCCCCTGCCACCCGGTTGATCTCGTTTTGTTATGCCCTTCACCCTATCATGTCATGCTCCTCGTTACATCACCCCATATGCACGAACCAAGAGTCCCTTTCGGCCCCCCATCATCCTCCTTTACCCACCATTGCCTTCCCATTGCCTCTCACGTCCTCCTCCTCCACTAGCCATCATGTCAGCCCAGTGTTGGGACAGCTTTGGAAGTGCACCTCATTCCTCATCCCATACCTCATCCCATATCTCAAACCTCTCCCATACTTCATCCCATACTGCATCCCATACCTCATCCCACATGCCTCATCCCATACCTCATCCCATACCTCATCCCATCACTCATTCCATGCCTCATCCCATGCCTCATCCCATGCCTCGTCTCGTACCTCATCTCATACCTTATATCTCATCCACCCTATCCTCTCTTCCTGCTGTCAGCAGTTTGATCATAAGATCGCACCATGACCTGCCCTTCATACCATCGCCGAACAAGCGTGGCTGAAGTGGGTTCAGCTTATGCTGTATGTGAACCACATGACCAGCCATGTGTGTGAGTTTGATTCTTATTCATACTGAATAGGCCCAAATCGTGTGTTCTTATGGGATAAGGTAGTATGGGGGCAGCTGTGCCGTGCACTTCATCCCCCGCCTCATTTCCATACCACATCCATCTACTCTTCAAACGCTTCACATTGTTTATAGTATGCCTGCCCTTCACTCGTGCCCTTCAACTTGGCTGGTTCAAAAACTGTGTGGTCTTCGGTGACACAGTGCAGCACACTACATGAAGAGGGTGAGATGAAATGGAAGTCTTTAATTGCCTGGATCCCAGTCAAATCCCGTCCAGTTGGAAGGAATGGAAGTGTTTATTGCTTCTCTCACTGTGTTTTGCTTGCTGTAATTCACAACAGGTTGCTGAAGGCAGTGGTGACAGAAGCATTGAGAGAAATGGGTGACTTAAGGGCGGCGGGGCCGCGTAGGTAAGGGCGACGCAACGGGCCGCTAGGGGCGACACGGAGGGTCGCTAAAAAAAAGGAAAACGCGCCTCGGGGCGCGCTTTGGTGGGCCCTAGAAGCAGTCCCTAGGAGGGGACATGCTCTGATTCCATGTGAAAAGAAGAACGCGAATGAGTGAACTATGAACAAAGTGAGTACATATAGGAAACCCTAATTGGGTTGTACCCCCTATGGGATACCCCACTATAGCCTACATAACAGCATAAGCTATAATGTTCTGACAGGTACTACAGTGGTGGCATCCTTGGCTGCCAGCGCCTCTCTGCACAACATGAGGTGGGCACGAGAGAAGGGAGGGTAACGGGGATAGAAGGGCAGATTTGGTTGAAGGAGGGAGGATTTGCATAGACTGTTTTTGCGGGCCGTTGCTGTAAGGGGAGGAGGAAATATAAAGAGCGGGAAATGGCATTAACTGTACATCATGTGAGCGCATGCCTGCCTTACACTGCCTTACACTTTCTGCGCAATGAGATGGGCATTTAGATGCAACACACACTGGCAATGAGTAATACTCACCGATGTGCTACGCAATGGCTGGAGAAAAGGTGCTGGGCCATTACACGCACCCGAGCCACCAGTCCGTTGTGCTACCCATCATCGCACCAGCGCCATCCGTGCTAATCCCGGCGACCCTGCTCTTGTCGATTCCAAGAGAGTCAAGGAGGGTCACCAACACGAAAAGCAGAGAAGCGCCATCGCATTTCTCCACCGTCAGTAGACCGATGTACTCCGTGACTGCACGAGATTCACGGAGAAACGTGGCAAACACGATCTGGTGTTTGACATGCACACGATATGTACTCTCGTCACAAGTTATTCCAATGAATGGACTAGACTGCAACCAGACTTGCTGACGAGCACGGAGATATGCAGCAGTGCTTGCGATGAGCTCGGCAAACCCGTATCTGCATAAATGGGAAAAAGGTACTGAGTATAAAAAACACTGTGCTTGTTGTGAGCAACCTCCGTACTAAGGTTCTCGAGTATAGCAGCTGTTGTTGATCAACGGCTCACCTGGTATAATAAGCACCGTAGCCGTTCTTGGGGAAGCCTGGTGTCTGTCGCTCTGCAAAGTGACGAACCAATTGAACCCACATCTCAATCGGTGCGTCACATTTGCAGATGAACAGCAGGGTCTCTAGCAGAGTGATGACTCTAACGCTGGATGTCTCCAGCCATTGGACAGTCGATGATGCGCTCCTGCTTGTGAGCCGCCTGCTCCGCCATGGCCTGTCTCTCGATGACCGCTCTGTCACCTTTTGTTCTACCGCTTTAATTCTCTACAACGAAACAACGAAAATAAGTTCCTACCATTATACGGATATAATCATCTACGGAACCCTTATGCTTGTACATAACTTTCGTGGGTTCGACGATATTATGGATTGGGAGCGAATACTTCTACCAATAAAAAAGCCTAACGTCGAAGATGTCCGGCTACAAGAGCGGGCGACCTACGACAATTGTTCCGGGCAAATACAAACAGTTCTACCGACAAAATATTCTACCACACAGATCTGCGCCTAAATAAGCGACCTAACAAGTGTGACTGCAGTTATCCTAACCGGGCTGACCCAAAATAAAAAAACCCACTCTATACGACCTACGTCACTACGTCGAGGACGCCAATGTTCTGCCAGTGGGCCAAGCAAGCTTAAAAGACTACGCTGGTGGACTAACAGGTGCTGGATGAAAAGATGTCAAAGAGCTTGCGGAGCATGAAATGCAAATGAAAAGGAGCAAATGAGCACAAAAACATCCATTCATACCCATCCACCACACACACAGAAGCCTGTGTCCAGATCTGGTCATCCAACCCTGGGCTGGATGATTCTCCCGCCAAAAAATAAAGTTCCCTACACGACGCTTATTGGCTCTTGCAGCCTTGGGACTCTGAGAACAAT